ATCTTCTAGCTTTGGCACAAATCTCTCGTGAGGAACTGTGCCGAAGGCCTTCTTGCAGTCCAAGAAAATGCAATCTACCCAACCCTCTCATGTCTTCCATTACCTTGTCATAAAACTCCAGTAGGTTTGTGACACAGGATTTGCCTTTCATGAATCCGTGCTGGTTTTCGTTTATAATCTTGTTCCGTTCTAGGTGGTCCACCACTCTTCTCCTGATAATCTTCTCCATGACTTTGCATACTATACACGTCACTAACACTGGTCTATAGTTTAGTGCCTCGTGTTTGTCTCCTTTCTTAAAAAATGGGACAACATTTTCCGTCTTCCATACCTCAGGTAGTTGCCCAGTTTCAATGGATTTGTTGAAAATTGTTTTTAATGGCACATACAGGGTCTCTGCTCCCTCTCTAAGGACTCGCGGAGAGATGTTCGGTCCCACCGCCTTTGAGGTATAAAGTTCACTTAGCAGCTTCTTCACCTCCTCCTCGCTTGTGTGTATCTCATCCAGCACTTGTTGGTATATCCCTTATTGGTGTACACCCCTATTCTGACTTCCCAGAGTTCTTTCTGTCTCCACTGTAAATACTTCCTTAAATCTCATGTTGAGCTCCTCACATTCGCATCGCATTCCGACATCTTAATAAGGAATCGTTCAGGACCCTGTACACCGTGTACGTTAGGCCCATATTGGAGTATTCGGCCCCAGTTTGGAACCCACACCTAGCCAAGCACGTAAAGAAACTAGAGAAAGTGCAAAGGTTTACAACAAGACTAGTTCCAGAGCTAAGAGGTATGTCCTACGAGGAGAGGTTAAGGGAAATCAACCCGACAACACTGGAGGACAGGGGAGATAAAGGGGACATAACGACATACAAAATACTGAGAGGAATTGACAAGGTGGACAAAGACAGGATGTTCCAGAGATGGGACACATCAACAAGGGGACACAGTTGGAAGTTGAAGACACAGATGAATCACAGGGGTGTTAGGAAGTATTTCTTCAGCCACAGAGTAGTCAGGAAGTGGAATAGTTCGGGAAGCGATGTAGTGGAGGCAGGATCCATACATAGCTTTAAGCAGAGGTATGATAAAGCTCACGGTTCAGGGAGAGTGACCTAGTAGCGACCAGTGAAGAGGCGGGGCCAGGAGCTAGGACTCGACCCCTGCAACCTCAACTAGGTGAGTACATACTTCTTGGTCGTTTCTTGTGATCTCCCCACCTTCCTTACTCAGCCTGATTACCTGCTCCTTGACTGTTGTCTTCCTCCTGATGTGGCTATACTACAGCTTTGGGTGATGTATGTGTGTATGTATACATGTATGTATGTGTATATGTATGTATTTGTATATGTATGTGTGTGTGTATGTGTGGCGGGTGGACCTGGAGTATATATATATACGTATCTAAATATTACTTGACACAACCACCTCCATTAAGCCAGACTACGTATGTGTGGATCTGGAGGCTGTACACAGGATTTTCCTCTTATCAATTTAGTCAAAGAATTAAGACTCCACTTATTTCTTAAGATAAGATTTGTCCGACTTTTTAACCCGGGGAGGTTAGCCACTCAGGATAACTTAGAAATAGTCAGTGCATCATCCAGGACTATCTGTCTTATTTCCACTGTGGTCCTGCAGTCTTGTCCCCCAGGATGCCACCTACGCCAGGTACCTACTTACTACTAGGTGAACAGTGACAGCAGATGAAAGGTGACTAATACCCTGGTACCTATTTGCTTGATGAACGGGGACAGCAGGTGTAAGGAAACATGCCCAACGTTTCAACCTGTGCCGGGGATTGAACCATGGACACTCAGTGTGTTAGGCGAGTGCGTTGCCAACCGAGCACCAAAGATATATTATAATTTACTCCAGTAAGGTTCTTGAGGAACTGATTCCAAATCTGTGGACTGAAATGACCCCTTATTAGAGGCAGAGGGACCGGGGACACAACATGTCCCCAGTATAAAGCCGGGATTCACACAATATAAAGTACACACAATATAAAGCCAGGGTACACACAATATAAAGCCAGGGTATACACAATATAAAGCCAGGGTACACACAATATAAAGGCACGGTATACACAATATAAAGCCGGAGTACACACAATATAAAGGCACGGTATACACAATATAAAGTCGGAGTACACACAATATAAAGCAAGGATACACACAATATAAAGCCGGGGTTCACACAATATAAAGCCAGAGTACACACAATATAAAGCCAGGATACACACAATATAAAGCCAGGGTACACACAATATAAAGCCAGGGTATACACAATATAAAGCCGGAGTACACACAATATAAAGGCACGGTATACACAATATAAAGTCGGAGTACACACAATATAAAGCAAGGATACACACAATATAAAGCCGGGGTTCACACAATATAAAGCCAGAGTACACACAATATAAAGCCAGGATACACACAATATAAAGCCAGGGTACACATAATATAAAGCCAGGGTATACACAATATAAAGCCAGGGTACACACAATATAAAGCCATGGTATACACAATATAAAGCCGGAGTACACACAATATAAAGCCAGGATATACACAATATAAAGCCGGAGTACACACAATATAAAGCAAGGATACACACAATATAAAGCCGGGGTTCACACAATGTAAAGCCGGAGTACACACAATATAAAGCCAGGATACACACAATATAAAGCCAGGGTACACACAATATAAAGCCAGGGCACACACAATATAAAGCAGGGGTTCACACAATATAAATCCGGAGTACACACAATATAAAGCCAGGGTTCACACAATATAAAGCCAGGGTTCACACAATATAAAGTCAGAGTACACACAATATAAAGCCGGGGTTCACACAATATAAAGCCGGAGTACACACAATATAAAGCCAGTATACACACAATATAAAGCCGGGGTTCACACAATATAAAGCCGGAGTACACACAATATAAAGCCAGGGTACACACAATATAAAGCCAGGGATCACATAATTTAAAGCTAGAATACACACAATATAAAGCCAGGGTACACACAATATAAAGCCAGGGTATGCACAATATTAAGCCGGGGTGCACACAGTATAAAGTCAGGGTACACACAATATAAAGCCAGGGTACACGCAATATAAAGCCAGGGTAAACACAATATAAAGCCAAGGTACACACAATATAAAACCAAGGTACACACAATATGAAGCCGAGGTTCACACAGTATAAAGCCAGGGAACACACAATATAAAGCCCGGGTACACACAATATAAAGCCGGGGTTCACACAATATAATGCCAGGGTACACACATTATAAAGCCAGGGTACACACAATATAAAACCGGGGTACACACAATATAAAGACAAGGTACACACAATATAAAGCCGGGGTACATACAATATAAAGCCAGGGTGCACACAATATAAAGCCGGGGTACACGCAATATAAAGCCAAGGTACACACAATGTAAGGCCAGGTACAAACAATATAAAGCCGGAGTACACGCAATATAAAGCCAATGTACACATAATGTAAGGCCAGGTACACACAATATAAAGCCGGGGTAGACAATATAAAGCCAGGGTGCACACAATATAAAGCCGGGGTACACACAATATAAAGCCAGGGTACACACAATATAAGGCCCGGGTAGACACAATATAAAGCCAGGGTACACACAATATAAGGCCAGGGTACACACAATATAAGGCCAGGGTACACACAATATAAGGCCAGGGTACACACAATATAAGGCCAGGGTGCACACAATATAAAGCCGGGGTACACGCAATATAAAGCCAGGGTACACACAATATAAGGCCCGGGTAGACACAATATAAAGCCAGGGTACACACAATATAAGGCCAGGGTACACACAATATAAGGCCAGGGTACACACAATATAAGGCCAGGGTGCACACAATATAAAGCCGGGGTACACGCAATATAAAGCCAGGGTACACACAATATAAGGCCCGGGTAGACACAATATAAAGCCAGGGTACACACAATATAAGGCCCGGGTAGACACAATATAAAACCAGGGTACACACAATATAAGGCCAGGGTACACACAACATAAAGCCAGGGTACACACAATATAAAGCCAGGGTACACACAACATAAAGCCAGGGTACACACAATATAAAGCCAGGGTACACACAACATAAAGCCGGGGTACACACAATATAAAGCCAGGGTACACACAACATAAAGCCCGGGTAGACACAATATAAAGCCAGGGTACACACAACATAAAGCCCGGGTAGACACAATATAAAGCCAGGGTACACAGTGAACATAGAGGTTCCACAACTTTCCATTGTTTTAGCTTCGACTATAAGGGGATTCACAACGGGATAATTTCTCTACATTTACAAACTTGACAGATCATTGTAATCAACATCTGATCAACTGCGTGTTGGGAACACTAGGAGTACTTGTCCGAGGCCGCTGGCTGGTCTGAGATCGCAGGCTGGTCTGAAACCGCTGGATGGTCTGGAACCGTTGGCTGGTCTGGTACCAGTGGCTGGTCCGAAACTGCTGGCTGGCCTGGGACCTGTGGCTGGTCTCAGACCGCGGGCGTTTACAAATATTCTTAAATATTTTAATTATAATTTTCTTTATTAACATTGAATGCAGATATGTTAACATTATACCAATTTCCCCTTCTGACCTGCCGCCTCTTCCCTGGAGGTTCATAACCCCTCTCACCGTTACTTCATCCCTTTACCTGGGAGTATTCTACCCCAATCTCACCATCTTCCTCTCACCACACTCCCATTCTTCCCTTGGGGGGTATCCTACCCCAATATCACCATCTTCATCTTACCATACTCCCTTCCACTGAGTGTATCCTACCCCACTCTCACCATATTTCTCTCACCATACTCCCCTCTTTTTCCTGGGGATATCCTTTTCCCGTATCACCATCTTCGTTTTCCCTCGCCATCCTACCCCCAACATGGAGTACCCTCCTTTTGTATTTACCAGGAGACTCCTCCTCAGGGTGTACCAGTGGGCCAGCACCCAGTGATCGTGGTTAGGGGCGCTGACCCCCGCCACCTACGCCAACTCGTCTCATACTGCTACAGTGGCTCCCTCAAGATACCCAACCAGGAAATCACGGAGGTGCTCAAGGTTAGTCTGCCTCCACCAGGGCATTTATTTTTATTTAAAAAATGATAGCTCAGCAGTGTGCTGCTACCCTACTCTGTGAGATCTACCTAATGGGAAGGAAAGGTAACTATGTTTTCCAGTTATATTCCATCACACAAGTTGGGTTCCAGCCAGATCTGGAAATTTCAGTCGTGGCATGAAGATATCCATCATTCCTCTGTGGTCAGAGGTTAAACTTAAATGTTATCTTTCCAGCAGGGATAGAGTCAATATTTTATGGGAATAGTCTCTACAGTCCTGCTAAATGAGTGTATAACGGAAGCCTGTAATTGTTTAACACAATAGTAGTATTGCTAGTGTCTTTTCTTTCTGTCTCATAAACACGCAAGATCACAGGTACATCTTGCTACTTATACTTACACTTAGGTTACACTACACATGCATGTACACACATATGTAATCACATACATCGAGTTTTTTTTCTATATTCCTAATAGTTTCTGTTCTTATTTATTTCTTTTGTTCTCCATGGGGAAGTGAAGAAGAACTCTTCCTCCGTAAGCCATGCGTGTTGTAAGAGGTGACTAAAATGCCGGGAGCAAGGGGCTAGTAACCCCTTCTTCTGTATTAATTACTTAATGTAAAAAGGAGTAAAAACTTCATTAAGTCGGGATGTTTAAACGTGCCTGGATGTAGTGCGGGTAGAACTGTAATGTAGAGCGGGTAGAACTGTAATGTAGTGCGGGTAGAACTGTAATGTAGAGCGGGTAGAACTGTAATGTAAGCGGGTAGAACTGTAATGTAGTGCGGGTAGAACTGTAATGTAGTGCGGGTAGAACTGTAATGTAAAGCGGGTAGAACTGTAATGTAGTGCGGGTAGAACTGTAATGTAGAGCGGGTAGAACTGTAATGTAGTGCGGGTAGAACTGTAATGTAGAGCGGGTAGAACTGTAATGTAGTGCGGGTAGAACTGTAATGTAGTGCGGGTAGAACTGTAATGTAGTGCGGGTAGAACTGTAATGTAGAGCGGGTAGAACTGTAATGTAGTGCGGGTAGAACTGTAATGTAGAGCGGTAGAACTGTAATGTAGTGCGGGTAGAACTGTAATGTAGTGCGGGTAGAACTTAATGTAGTGCGGGTAGAACTGTAATGTAGTGCGGGTAGAACTGTAATGTAATGCGGGTAAACTGTAATGTAGTGCGGGTAGAACTGTAATGTAGTGCGGGTAGAACTGTAATGTAGTGCGGGTTAGAACTGTAATGTAGTGCGGGTAGAACTGTAATGTAGTGCGGGTAGAACTGTAATGTAGAGCGGGTAGAACTGTAATGTAGAGCGGGTAGAACTGTAATGTAGTGCGGGTAGAACTGTAATGTAGAGCGGGTAGAACTGTAATGTAGTGCGGTAGAACTGTAATGTAGTGCGGGTAGAACTGTAATGTAGTGCGGGTAGAACTGTAATGTAGAGCGGGTAGAACTGTAATGTAGTGCGGGTAGAACTGTAATGTAGAGCGGGTAGAACTGTAATGTAGTGCGGGTAGAACTGTAATGTAGTGCGGGTAGAACTGTAATGTAGTGCGGTTAGAACTGTAATGTAGTGCGGTAGAACTATGTAGAGCGGTAGAACTGTAATGTAGTGCGGGTAGACTGTAATGTAGAGCGGGTAGAACTGTAATGTAGAGCGGTAGAACTGTAATGTAGTGCGGGTAGAACTGTAATGTAGTGCGGGTAAACTGTAATGTAGTGCGGGTAGAACTGTAATGTAGTGCGGTAGAACTGTAATGTAGTGCGGGTAGAACTGTAATGTAGAGCGGGTAGAACTGTTAATGTAGAGCGGGTAGAACTGTAATGTATGCGGGTAGAACTGAATGTAGAGCGTCGGTAGAACTGTAATGTAGCTGGTAGAACTGTAATGTAGAGCGGGTTAGAACTGTAATGTAGACGGTAGAACTGTAATGTATGTGCGGGTAGAACTGTAATGTAGAGCGGGTAGAACTGTAATGTAGTGCGGTAGAATGTAAGTAGAGCGGTAGAACTGAATGAGTAGCGGGTAGAACTGTAATGTAGAGCGGGTAGAACTGTAATGTAGAGCGGTAGACTGTATGTAGAGCGGGTAGAACTGTAATGTAGTGGGGTAGAACTGTAATGTACAGCGGTAGAACTGTAATGTAGTGCGGGTAGAACTGTAATGAAGCGGGTAGAACTGTAATGTAAGCGGGTAGAACTGTAAGTATTGCGGTATGATACTGTAATGTTAGAGCGGGTAGAACGTAATGTAGTGCGGTAGAATGTAATGTAGGCGGGTAGAACTGTAATGTAGAGCGGGTAGAACTGTAATGTATGCGGTAGAACGTAATGTAGTGCGGGTAGAACTGTAATGTAGAGCGGTAGAACTGTAATGTATGCGGTAGAACTGTAATGTAGTGCGGTAAACTGTATGTATGTCAGTAGAACTGTAATGTAGACCGGGTAGAACTGTAATGTAGTGCGGGTAGAACTGTAATGTAGAGCGGGTAAATGTAATGTAGTGCGGGTAAACTGTAATGATGCGGGAGAACTGTAATGTAGAGCGGTAAACTTAATGTAGAGCGGGTAAACTGTAATTAGAGCGGTTAGAACTGTAATGTAAGGGTAGAACTTAATGTAGTAGCGGGTAGAACTGTAATGTAGTGCGGGTAAACTGTAATGTAGTGCGGGTAGAACTGTAATGTAGTGCGGTAGAACTGTAAGTAGTGCGGGTAGAACTGTAATGTAGTGCGGGTAGAACTGTAATGTAGTGCGGGTAGAACTGTAATGTAGAGCGGGTAGAACTGTAATGTAGTGCGGGTAGAACTGTAATGTAGTGCGGGTAGAACTGTAATGTAGTGCGGGTAGAACTGTAAGTGAGTGCGGTAGAACTGTAATGTCAGAGCGGGTAGAACTGTAATGTAGTGCGGGTAGAACTGTAATGTAGAGCGGGTAGAACTGTAATGTAGTGCGGGTAGAACTGTATGTAGAGCGGGTAGAACTGTAATGTAGTGCGGGTAGAACTGTAATGTAGTGCGGGTAGAACTGTAATGTAGTGCGGGTAGAACTGCAGTGCAACACTGCTTCAACCAGCTTATACCACCACCAAAAAATAATATCAGTACTGATACCTTCATCAACTTACACCACAAACTAACACCAGTACTATTTCCACCATTTAATATCACCACCACCACCACTACGCACACCACTAACACCTGCCTTCAATATCACAAACACCTGCCTTCAATATCACAAACACCTGCCTTCAATATCACAAACACCTGCCTTCAATATCACAAACACCTGCCTTCAGTATCACAAACACCTGCCTTCAATATCACAAACACCTGCCTTCAGTATCACAAACACCTGCCTTCAATATCACAAACACCTGCCTTCAATATCACAAACACCTGCCTTCAATATCACAAACACCTGCCTTCAAGTATCACAAACACCTGCCTTCATATCACAAACACCTGCCTTCATATCACAAACACCTGCCTTCAATATCACAAACACTTGCCTTCAGTATCACAAACACCTGCCTTCAATATCACAAACACCTGCCTTCAATATCACAAACACCTGCCTTCAGTATCACAAACACCTGCCTTCAGTATCACAAACACCTGCCTTCAATATCACAAACACCTGCCTTCAATATCACAAACACCTGCCTTCAGTATCACAAACACCTGCCTTCAATATCACAAACACCTGCCTTCATATCACAAACACCTGCCTTCAATATCACAAACACCTGCCTTCAGTATCACAAACACCTGCCTTCAATATCACAAACACCTGCCTTCAATATCACAAACACCTGCCTTCAATATCACAAACACCTGCCTTCAGTATCACAAACACCTGCCTTCAATATCACAAACACCTGCCTTCAGTATCACAAACACCTGCCTTCAGTATCACAAACACCTGCCTTCAGTATCACAAACACCTGCCTTTAGTATCACAAACACCTGCCTTCAATATCACAAACACCTGCCTTCAGTATCACTAACACCTGCCTTCAATATCACAAACACCTGCCTTCAGTATCACTAACACCTGCCTTCAGTATCACAAACACCTGCCTTCAATATCACAAACAGCATAAAAACAGCAAAAACAATATCAACACCAGCAACTAACACCACCTCCAATTTTACAGTTGGCTGAGGATCTGGAAATCGGCGGCCTCCATAATGTGAAGTCAGAGGAAGATGCAGCATCCTCCTCCTCGGCACCGTCATCCAGAATCCCTGCCATTATCCATAACCTACACCCACCCTCACCCACCTGGTTCACCTTCACCACGCCCACCTCCGCCCACTCATCCAGCACTCCCATCCTGAACGGACGTTCTGATAGCTCTCCAGGGCCCAAGAGGGCTGCTACACCTCTTAATCTACAAGACAGTCAGGTAATGTCATGTTCAATCAAATATTTCACCATTTACACTGAATTCACAAGTTGGTTTGATACTCAGTTTATTTATATCTAGAGAAAACTGTTTTATATTCTCAGCTCTATAATTTTTTTCCTTATTCTCAGCTCTGCACAAAATTATTTCTCATTCTCAGTTCCCTATATAATTGTTTCTTATTCTCAGGTCCCAATGAACTTTCTTATTCTCTACCCTCTATAAAACTGTTTTATTCTCAGCTTTCTATAAAACTATTTCTTATTCTTATCAATAATTGTTGATAAAGATTCACCCATTCTTTCCTTTGCTGTCCTTATGCACTCTCTTATTACTTGTTTAACCTCTCCTCGTTTCTCTTTAAACTTTTTTTATATCCTATTCACATTGTTAAAACCTTTCATATGGTATCTTTTTCGTTCTTTACACCCTTTTCATATCACCATTCCACTAATCCGTCATCTTCCCTCCTGCATCCTCCCTCCTATGACCACAAACCTTTGCTATTCACCCGAGCACTTCATTCTTAAATCAATGCTATTGTTCCTCACTACTCGCTCTCTCTGGCCCACTTTCCTTACAATAGTTTAACCTGTCATTAACACCTTTCTAGTTCTTTAGTGCATTCCCTTTGACTTCTGTCTTACCCACTTGCACCATTCTCTTTGTATTTCACCTTCCTCTTATCCTCTCACTAACCCCGATTAACAGTTTCTCTTGAGTCAGCTAGTCTTACACAGCTACACATCAGTACCCAATCAATTTACACTGCAAGATATAAACGGAAAGGGAGTATAATACATTTATTGGTCGTTGCACAACCATGATGATACACAGTGGCGGACCTGCATTTTTGGAGCCCTGTAACTTGTATTGTTATGGGGGCCCGTTCTCATACAGTAGACCCCAAATTTTTAAGCAATGTGGGCTAAAGTCACTTCTGGGGCCCCCTCAGGGATTAGGGGTCTTGAAGTTAAGCTTCATTAATTTCGCAGTAGATCCGCCCCTCATGATACGTAAGTTCTTGAAGAATAGCCCACTGTCCGAAATAAACTGTATCAAAGTCATGTTCACAACTCAACTCAGACTGGGTGCTGCTCCTCGTCTTCCTCTTTACTTTGCGCCGCGGGGCGGTTAATTTGACTTGTATGACCAGAGCTTTGGTAAGATGGGGAAGGAAGAAGGATGGGTAAGAAGGGAAATATGGGGAAAGGGTGGGTGGAGGAGGGGAGGTAGGGTAATAAAGGAAAAGTAGCCTAACCACTTTGGTTCATTTTAATACATGTATGTGTGTGTGTAGTGTTATTAATGAAATCAATTTCAGTGAAAGGAGTATAACACTTACAGATCAGTTTCACAGTTATATCAAATGTATAACTGCATGACGCCGAATTGGCAGGGGTATACTTTTTGCAATTGCTTTTTTGCGATTGCAGGGAGTAGGCTGCAAATGACGAAAGCAAGACGTTTGATTTAGGTCGATTGCTCCCCGGAGATACTGGCTGGCTCAGCTGTTTCAGAGGTGGTGTCCTACCATAGTAGGTCTGCAGATGTTACATGGATAGATGTAATAGCTGATAAGTTAAAAGGGAAGTCTCCATAAATTGGGTTGGTTTTGTCCTTATTGGATATAAAAGGGTTCCGTTGTTACCCATTCATCTATATCTTCTGGGAGGTCACTCAGGATCACTGGTCTCTGGAAAATATCCCTAGAGATGAATCGTCGCACTCTGTTGGAGGGTCATTCTTTGGGTTCTGTGGGGAGGTGTGATGATGATGTAGTCTGTGGTATTTGCTGGTTGGGGAGAGTTTTCTCTGTCTGGTATATAGAGTTCTTGCATGCCGTATAGTTGTCTCTTCTTTAGTTTATCTAGCCTTGCATTTATTGTATTTATCTCCTATTGGATGTGTAGCCCGGTGGCCTGGTGGCTAAAGCTCCCGCTTCACACACGGAGGGCCCGGGTTCGATTCCCGGCGGGTGGAAACATTTCGACACGTTTCCTTACACCTGTTGTCCTGTTCACCTAGCAGCAAATAGGTACCTGGGTGTTAGTCGACTGGTGTGGGTCGCATCCTGGGGGGACAAGATTAAGGACCCCAATGGAAATAAGTTAGACAGTCCTAGATGACGCACTGACTTTCTTGGGTTATCCTGGGTGGCTAACCCTCCGGGGTTAAAAATCCGAACGAGATCTTATCTTAGATCTTCCCTCCTGATTCTGTCTCTCCTCCTGGTGCCTGTGATGAAGCGGAGTGCTCTATTCTCAATTCTTTGTAGCTGTAGCATGTTGGTACGCATGGATGGGTACACATGGATATCCTAGCATAGGTCTTATCATCATCTTGTACAGGTGTTTTTGGATGTGGGAAGGGGTGTGATGAATGGGAAGGGGCTTGATTAAACTTGTATAGATTGCTGAGGCAGGCTTTTAGAGATGTGTGATGTGGAGTGGAGTAATCTGTCTATCTTGTATCACAGGATCTTGTTGGGGTTTCTAATGGTAATAAGTGTATTTCCGATGGAGATACCCCCCTTGTCTTCTATAGATGTTGCAAAGCATCCAATGGTGCTGATCAGGACTTTGTCTGGGTTGGTCGTGATTCTCCATTTCTTCCCCCAGTTTGCTGCTCTTTGTAGTTCCGTATTCATTTTTTCTATGACCCTCGCATACCTATATTTTCCCATGATGGGGATGTAAGGTCGACAAGTAAGGTCGACAGGTTTTAATGTGAGTCCGTTGTGCTGTCAAAAAACTTTGTGTACATCCCTGGTTGCACTTAGGGCAAGGTTGCCCTGTTTCCTCAGGCTGTCCACAGTTGAAGAAGATACTGATAGCATGTTGGGTTCCTCTGTGGTTCTGAATCCAAACTGTTTGTCAGTGAAGAGGTGAGTGTACTCCATGTTGGAAATGATTTTCTCAAGGACTTTACCAGTGACTTCAAGTAATGAGATAGGGCAATAATTCTGTCTATGTTTGTCTTGAGTTTTGCGATGAATATCATCCTTGCTGTCTTAACAGCCACTGGAAAGTATCCTGAGGCCAAGATAGCATTAAAGATATTTACCAGAGACATTTTGCAATTTCTGAGTAAGAACTTTACTTGTTTCACTGTTATGCCTGAGAGACCAGGGGCTTTATTACTCATTCTGCCTATAACTTGACTCATCTCTCTGAGTGGGATTGGTCCTGTAAGGGGGTGTTCATCTTCAAGGGTAGATGTATCAATAGTAATGGTTGGAAATCAGCTCGGTTGTCGTCTCTCCATTCATTGACCCACTGGTAATGGTTATTGTTAAATCTTCTAACATTGCGTGAAAGAATATTCTCCCACACATCACCCATTGACTTGGTCTTGTGGATCATCAAGTTTGATATCAACTTCCTCATCATCGTCGTCGGTGAAGGAATGTATTAGATAACGGGTAACCTTGTGCTTTGCCCCTAGAAGCTGGCGGATCTTGCTCCAGAACTTTTCAGGACGACGTTTGTATTGATTAGCTTGAAAACAAGATAATTCCATAATTCACTTTTGTGTTGTGTGATCGGGGTAATTAATTCTCTTCTCAACCTCTGCAGCATAACCCTTGTGGGCTGTCTCGTTTGGTGGTGCCTTCTACATTCTGTTTGATAATTTTTCATGCAGTCCCTAATTTCCTTGGTTGGTTTATAATGCTGATATGTTATGTTAATCTCCAGGGTTTGTTACCTGGACCTCAACAATGAAAGTGGCTACTCTCACCGCTGGGCAACGGCGACCAGTGCAAATATATAATGCTGATAGATCTTCGATGTATTTAATTGGAAACTTGCATGAGTGGCTTGTATGATTCTTTCGTGGAAGGAGCTGATTGCCTCGTCAATTGCAGTTGAAGGCTGCTTCTCAAGCGAAACAGTAAGGTCATTGCATAGGTAGTCCCTGAAGGGATCAAATCCTAGAGATTTTAGGTTGGGTTTCGGTGGAGTGGATATTATAAATGGCGATGCTTGTAGTGTTATTATAACAGGGATGTGGTCTGATCCTACGTTTCCACCAGGGGAGACTGCAATGGTATAGGTCACAATCTCTGTTGGTCAAGACTATATCAGGTGTCCCAGGATGAGGGTCTACATATGACTTAAAGAATGGACCTTGGAATGACAGATTTCTTTTGAATGTTCGAAGATTTGCTACTGAGGATTTTGGAAGCTCTCCGAGCCATTCCAGGATGCTGGAACTGGGTTCATCAGCCTGGTCATCGAGCACGTAGACATGCCAACTGTTCAAAAAACTTGTCCCCTAATACCGTACTCAAGTATAACAAAATGAAAGCGACTGAATGAGACGTTCTCGAGTTACGAGTGAAATAAAATCGAAAAGTTAGAGTAAGAAAAAAAAGCGATAAAAAAGGAAAAAAAAAAATCAGGCAACCTCTTGAAGGTTCACCTCCGGGGATACCTAATAATGAGTTGAAAATATCTATCCAAGACCGGACTTGCAGTAATGATTTCTGGTTGGAGGAACTTTGATTTAGGTAGGATATAGGGAAGTATTGGTTTGGAGTAGAGTTGTAGATGAGACAAGATCTTCAGGTAGCTTTAAATGTAGGTTGGATGGGAAGGAGAGTGGGTGGTGTGAGTGTGACCTACCTATTATGGGCCTGCTGCAGTCTTCTTTCATCCTGGCGTATTTTTGTATGTCGAGGACTGGGATTTGTCTTCCCCTTCCTTGGATTAAACCAGATTGCATCCCATTTTCCAGATGTTGTATGGCCCCCACGATTTTAACGTTTTCCTTTAATAATAATAGTAATAATATAATAATAATAATAATAATAATAATAATAATAATAATAATAATAATAATAATAATAATAATAATAATAATAATAATCTTATGCACTTCTTACCCTGTATACTTATACTATTTTTTAAATGCATTATTACCAAAGATTTTTACGAACAAAAGTTTTTAACATTCTTATTGCTACTGTTATTATTATTGTTGTTGTTTTTACAGATTAAGAAGCGGTGTAAAGTAGAGCCTCTGACCACTGGTGGGGAGGAGCTGCTCCCCAGGACCACATCCCCACGCTTCACAACCCCGTCCTCGGCCCCGCCTCACCTCTCTCGCCACTCCCTCAGCAGCGCCTTCCTCTTTAGGGACCACAGTCCCCCTAACTCTGCTCCTCCACAGTCAGTGAGGGAACTTTCCAGCCCCCACCATCAGGCCGACCTTCCCTCTTCCTCATTCTCCTCACACGAAGCGGTAAGTTTTCTCTGGATGACATGGTGTATTGCCAACAAAGATGAAGATACAAACTCCAATTACAGAACAAGCTTTTATTGTCAGAACGTTTCTCTCTGTGTAAAGCTCTATCATACCATACACAAATAACAGTTAGCATGCATATATACTCTTGAAGGTAAAGTGGCAGTAGTAAATATGAGGTATCTGGTGGAAGGTGATCACTTGAGCCAGAACTATCCAAGAGGAATGTGGCGTTGCCAATGAATCACCACACTACATTTTCCTCAACACTTCAGTCAGACCTGCAGAAGACGAGACCAGAAAGTGCTTTTCACGTTCCGCAAGACTTCTCATTATTCCCACAGGAAACATGAGATATTCACACAAGCGCTGAAGAATGGTGACACTAGTGACGCAGTCCTCACCTGAAACACGTAAAGTAGATATGTCCAGACCAGGACACAACAATCAGAATAAAGATAGTGCATCAGTCTATACCATACTTTGTGACAGATGTGATAGACAATACACAGAAGAACCTTCACACTGTTTAAACACCAGATTACAACCACACTAGACACATGCAGAACTTACAACACCAGCAACACAGGTGTTGTCCACCTAGAGACAGTCCTAGACAAATATGACTTGTAAATCTGTATGACTTGGTAAATCTCTATACAGAGCGATCTTATGTCCGTTTTTAGTATTGTTTTGTGTGACCCCTACGGGTTGATGGATGTTAAATTAATGTTAATAATCCCTACCATGATATGACTACTACTACTACTACTATTACCACTACTACTACTATTGTTGCTACTACTACTATTACGACTATTACTACTATTACTACCACCACCAATAACAACAGCATGACCCAGTATGGTTCCTGCTTATGCTTTTCACATTATTTTGTTACTTATAGTGTATAAAGACCTTTTGACGTTGATCTTGCAGGAGAGGTCGCCGTTAGTGAGTGTTGTTCCACCATCCCGTCTGCAACACCTTCCTCGCCCGCCCTCTGCCCCGTCCTCTACCCCGTCCTCCGCCCATTCATCCACCCACTCTGCCCCAACATCCACCCACTCTGCCCCATCCTCCCCCTACCGGGAGCCCTACTCTCCCACATCTAAGGGCAGACTCATCTTGCCTCACACGCCCACAACCCTCGCCCTCAAGGAGCCCATGACGCCCTCCACGCCCACCACACCCACAACGCCTATGCCAGCCATCCTCAAAAGTGGTAAGTGTCTCCCGCTGGAAGTTGGCCACTTAACAGCATTACTGTTTCTTCGAAAGCTTAAAAGATGCCCACAAACACGGATAATACAGACCCGTTTAATGCTTGTACGAGTGCACAAGAGTGTTTGTATGAGAGTGTTTGCACATGAGCATTTGCATGAGAGTGTTTGCACAAGGAACAAGGGGACACAATCGGAAGATGAAAACTCAGACGACTCATAGGGGTGTTAGGAAGTATTTCTTCAGCCTTAGAGTTGTCACGAAGTGGAACAATATGGAGAGTGACGTACTGGAGGCAGGATCCATACATAGCTTTAAGAAGAAATATGATAAGGCTCTTGGAGCAGGGAGAGAGTGGACCTAGTAACAACTAGCGAAGAGGCGGGGCCAGGAGTTGTGAGTTGACTCCTGAATCACATAGGTGAGCATAAGAGCGCTTTCACGAGAGAATATTTGTGTATCATATCGGAACCCCCAGGTTTAGGTATTCCAAAGGAATACCTAAACCAATTAGTGCCGTGTAGTGCCTGAGGAATGTCACAGATGAAGGGCTACTCGGTGCTTGAGGAATGCCATAGATGAAGGGATACTCAGTGCCTGAGGAATACCACAGATGAGGGGATATACACATGTCTTACTCATCTACTGTATGAATGGGAACCAATGTTTCTCAGTACCTTGGAGAACCCATCCGTATAGATGAGAAACTATAAATAACACGCATATATTAGTGATTCACAGTTTTCTTAATAAAAACACAAATATAAATTATTTCTTAAGCAAATCAATAAAATACAGGTGGATAACGGAAGTGAACATGTGAATCAAAGCTAAAGCAGGAAAATATAGGAAAACGGGAATAACTGGTATGCAGGCTGGTTCTGAACCAGTGTTCTGAACCAGTGTTCTGAGCCAGTGTTCTGAACCAGTGTCCTGAGCCACTGATCAGAAGTGACGCCAGTGTTACTACCATAAGCTAAAGATAGACGCTGGTGGTATAAAAGATTAAGATAAGATAAGATTTCGTTCGGATTTTTAACCCCGGAGGGTTAGCCACCCAGGATAACCCAAGAAAGTCAGTGCGTCATCGAGGACTGTCTAACTTATTTCCATTGGGGTCCTTAATCTTGTCCCCAGGATGCCACCCACACCAGTCGACTAACACCCAGGTACCTATTTGCTGCTAGGTGAACAGGACAACAGGTGTAAGGAAACGTGTCGAATGTTTCCACCCGCCGGGAATCGAACCCGGGCCCTCCGTGTGTGAAGCGGGAGCTTTAGCCACCAGGCCACCGGGCCACCTAAGCCACCAGGCCACCGGCCACACACACACGTTAGATTAGCAAACTAACGTTTCCACAAATCAAGATATACAACTAATTATACAGAGGAATGAAAACTTATGATCATCAGAGAGGTGAACAACGAAATATATTTCTCACAATCCCCAGTACCACATGTCACCTACTGTAGGTGGCGCTGGAGTCTGCCTTCCTCTGTCACTAGCGTTTCACATACACGAACCAGTCACATATACACTCACAGAAAATTTTGAACAACTGCATGAAAATTTTCTCTTAGGGTTAGTTATGAAAAATAGAGCAACCTATGAATGCCATTTTTATTAACTAGCTCGTTCCTTATTCTTTTTTACTTACCTGATTGCTTCTCCTCCTTGTTACGTTTTAAATCTACCTGCTAACTCCTCCTCCGCAGAGCCCGGGAGCCGGAGTGCTGCATCAACCAGCAGTAGCAGCAACAGCACCAGTGGATCAAGAGTACTGTTGTGGAGGTTCCTGTTGGATCTTCTTCATAATCCCCACTACACTCCCATATACATCCGATGGCTCGATCGTCCCAATGGCGTCTTTAGGTGAGATAATGAAGGCTGAAGCAGCGAATATGTCTTCTCCATTTGTTTAAAGTAGCGGCACTCGCTCATAACTGGAACTGTTACTGGATAAAACACTATCAACTTTAACAGAAATGGAAACTTACAGTCTTTTATTCTGGCCATAAATTTAATCCTGCAGTGGACTCAATGCACCCAGAGGTGTATATTTGTTATTCTATATATTCCGTAAAACAACTATAACTCTGTGTGGGTCATTAAGCGAATTTCAGTCTTCTAAATTAACGTCATTTCTCTCTATGTGTACGCTGCTGTTATGTATATTGATATTTTGAATGATTAAATTACTAGTGGTAGTGAATGAGAGATAATATACTAAGAATGGGAACTGCTTCCAGGATCATGGAGTCAGATATGGTGGCTCAGCTGTGGGGTAGAGCTCGCAAGAACAACAACATGAATTATGAGAAGATGTCACGAGGGATGCGGTGAGTCGCCATGTTATTGTGTAGTTGATAAAAATGGCGTACTGCCGACCATGGTGAAGAAAGGCAAACGTCGCAGAGCTAGATTTCATTGAGACAGCATTTCGCTATAAAGAGCATTATCAGCTGACGATAGAGCTCTATGTAGATAGAAACGTTTTCCCCCCAAAAAAGCTTATGTTGCAACGTCTCTTTTCTTTAATACGGTGTGTTTTATTAAGTCTTCCAATATGTTCCATAACCGAGTAAGTGAAATTTGACTTTGCTGATCCATATATTTCTGTGATTCGGTAGAAAACTTGAGTACATGAGCTCAGAGATTTGCTGTGTCCTCCATGGCTGCCACTCTTCTAGTATAGAATGCTGTGTATGATGTAGTACTGTAATTTGTGTTTTTGTCTGTGGCAGATATGAGAAAACTACTTGGAGCAATTACAGTGGAACCTCGGTACTCGAACTGCCTTCTGGAACGTATCAAGTTCGAGCACCGAGGTTCCACTGTTCTCTGCTTAATGAACCTAACATTTCCCTGTGACCGCCTCTCATTTGATTTTATCGAGTAATGCAGTTTGGGTTCGATTGTATTAGAGTTTAAGATACATTTATTCAGTTTTCCAATTTTGCATTTTGAATGAATTTCGTGTGCTATTACTCTTGTGAAAATTATATTATTTTCCAGACCGTATTCCTATCAATGTATTAATATGTAACTACCATTGTGTAGGAAAAGCTATGGGCATTGACTGACTTCCCTAATGTACGTAGCTTACAAGTGTATAGACACCTCGTATAATCATGTACGGTTAATGCATTATATCTCACTGATAATTGAATCCGATAATTGAATTACCGGATTTTCCGGCATTTAATGCGCACGAACATATAAAAACATATAAGACTATTTTTCCAGCAGTTGTACCGTAACGTTAGTAAACAGCTGTTACAGCAAAACCCAAAAGCCTACCCTTAATCCTCAATTTGAGCATATAAGGCGCAGGATGATTTTCCAAGACTTTTTGTGAGGATAAAAAAGCGCGCCTTATATACCTAATTTGCGGGAAATGCTCAGCATAACAAGCGGCTTTCTATATAGTAGTATGTCACTGATGTCAACTATGGTCTGTACACCTTGTACATGTAGAAATAAAGACAGTAAGTGTTTGTGAGACTCAGAAAATAAGAAGTGACTGGCATTGTTATTAGTGATATTATCAACAGTGATATTAGCAACAGTGATATTATCAACAGTGATATTATCAACAGTGATATTATCAACAGTGATATTATCAACAGTGATATTATCAACAGTGATTAATTAATCAACAGTGATATTATCAACAGTGATATTATCAACAGTGATATTATCAACAGTGATATTATCAACAGTGATATTATCAACAGTGATATTATCAACAGTGATATTATCAACAGTGATATTAGCAACAGTGATATTATCAACAGTGATATTAGCAACAGTGATATTAGCAACAGTGATATTATCAACAGTGATATTAGCAACAGTGATATTAGCAACAGTGATATTAGCAACAGTGATATTAGCAACAGTGATATTATCAACAGTGATATTATCAACAGTGATTAATAACAGTAATATCACGTTTGATATTAGACAGTGTATTCACAGTGATATTATCACGTGATATTATCAACATTGCATATCAAATGATATTATCAACAGTATATCAACTGAATTATCGATCGTGATTTTATCAACCAGTGATTAGCCACAGTGATTTAAACAGTGAAAATATCAACATAGGATTCTAAACAGTATTTTCAACAGTGATACTTATCAACATGATATTCAACAGTGATTCTACCAACCCTGATATAGCAACAGTATATTACACAGTATATTAGCAACAGTGATATTAGCAACAGGATATAGCAACAGTGATATTACAACAGTGATATTACAACAGTGATTTATCAACAGTGAATTACAACGTGATATTAGCACAGTGTAAAGCAAAGTGATATCAGCAACGTGATATTACACAGTGATATAGCAACGGGAATCTATCAACAGTGATTAGCAACACTGATATTATCAACAGTGATATTACAACAGTGATATTAGCAACCAGTGATCATTACAACAGTGATATATCAACAGTGATATTACAACAGTGATATTAGCAACAGTCATATTACACAGTGATATAGCAACAGTGATATTATCAACAGTGATATTATCAACAGTGATATTATCAACAGTGATATTAGCAACAGTGATATTAGCAACAGTGATATTAGCAACAGTGATATTAGCAACAGTGATATTAGCAACAGTGATATTATCAACAGTGATATTAGCAACAGTGATATTAGCAACAGTGATATTATCAACAGTGATATTATCAACAGTGATATTATCAACAGTGATATTAGCAACAGTGATATTATCAACAGTGATATTAGCAACAGTGATATTAGCAACAGTGATATTAGCAACAGTGATATTATCAACAGTGATATTAGCAACAGTGATATTAGCAACAGTGATATTAGCAACAGTGATATTATCAACAGTGATATTAGCAACAACTCTTAATAAAATTCACGTCTTTTTTTTAGATGTGTGATTGTAGTGTTCACGGACCGAATAAACATTGCAGTGTAGTCTAAATTTTTGTAAGATAAGATACGATTTCGTTCGGATTTTTAACCCCGGAGGGTTAGCCACCCAGGATAACCCAAGAAAGTCAGTGCGTCATGGAGGACTGTCTAACTTATTTCCATTGGGGTCCTTAATCTTGTCCCCCAGGATGCGACCCACACCAGTCGACTAACACCCTGGTACATATTTGCTGCTAGGTGAACAGGACAACAGGTGTAAGGAAACGTGTCGAAATGTTTCCACCCGCAGGGAATCGAACCCGGGCCCTCCGTGTGTGAAGCAGCTTCAGCCACCAGGCCACCGGGCCACCACCACCAGGCCACCGGGCCACCACCACCACCAGGCCACCGGGCCACCACCACCACCAGGCCACCGGGCCACCACCACCACCAGGCCACCGGGCCACCACCACCACCAGGCCACCGGGCCACCACCACCACCAGGCCACCGGGCCACCACCACCACCAGGCCACCGGGCCACCACCACCACCAGGCCACCGGGCCACCACCACCACCAGGCCACCGGGCCACCACCACCACCAGGCCACCGGGCCACCACCACCACCAGGCCACCGGGCCACCACCACCAGGCCACCGGGCCACCACCACCAGGCCACCGGGCCACCGGGCCACCGGGCCACCGGGCCACCGGGCCACCGGGCCACCGGGCCACCGGGCCAGACGTTAATACATTGTTTATGGTGTGTGTATAATAATTTACATTACCAGGTAATGTGTTCTTTCTTGATAAATTATGCAAAACTTGTCTCATTTCATGCTTATTTAATTAGTTTCACAGAATATATTTTTCCATTTGGATGGTTACTGACGGCTGGTGGTGATCCTGGTTGTGGCTGGTCGACACTAGTGAATGATATGTATCAAACCTTTTCCACGAGTAAACATTATCATGTTAACAGTCTCATGTGTGCTCTCCTCACTCCACAGGACATACTACAAGCGAGGTATTCTCTTCCACATTGACGGCACTAAACTCATCTATAAGTTCAACACTGAGGAAGCAGAGATCCAGCAGCGTATGCGTTACTATGACCTTACGCTTAAGTCAGAAGGAGAAGAGGAGCCTAGCGTGAGTCAGGTAATGTCAGTGTTTGTGTCTGTTTTTACTATTATATACTCGCCTATATGTGACTGCCGGGGTCGAGTCTCAGCTCCTGGCCCCGCCTCTAAACTTGCCGCTGGCTAGATTCACTCCTAGACTTGTGGGCTCTATTATACCTATTCTTAAACCTATGATGGGTCTGCCTTCACCACTTCTTCGGCGAGGTCAATCCACTTCCCGACCATCCTGAGACTGAACAAATACTTCCAACTGCTCCCACGAGTACCTGTTTCCCACCTCTCAGACAGTCTGCCCTTGGCTGACCTGTCAATTCCTCTAAGTATTTTGTATGTTGTTATCGTGTTTTACCTGGCCCTTCTGTACTCCAGGGTCGAAAGCTTCAATTTCTTTAGCTTCTCTTCGTAGCTCTCTTTAGCTCTGGAACTAGTCTCGTTGGATGCTTCTGCACTTTCTTAACATGCCTTCTCAGGAGAGGGTTCCATACTAGTGCTGATTACTCCAAGATGGGCCTTACATATGTTGTATAAAGCACCGGGAATGACTCTATTGAGATTCCTGAAGGCCATTCTCAATTGCATGGTACGCAATGCTGCAGAGTATTTGGTTAATGTGGTCGTCACCATGATAACTGCCAGGTCCTTTTCTTTGAGTGAGGTCTGCAGCCTCTGTCCCCTTGGTCTTCTGGCCTCTTCCTCAATCTTCATAACCTTGCATTTTTCCACATCCATATACACAAATAACCCACACATAAAAGAGAGAAGCATAGTCACGTGTCAGCGAAGCTTGTCTGTGGTTCACCTCCTCCTACCTATCTCCTTTCTTAAATATAGGTACTACATTCTCTGTCTTCCAGATATCTGGATATCTGGTGTTGTCCCATTTTATACTGACTTGTTGTAGATCATAGCTAGTGGTTCGGATAGCACTTCCGCTTCCTCTCACAGAATATGTGGTGACATCTTGTCAGGTCTCACTATCTTTGATGCATCAAACTTCATTAAAATATTTTTCTCTCTACTCCTTTTTTTTTTTTTTTTTTTTTTATTCGCCGGTATTCTCCCGGCCCGGGTCTTGTTCTGTTCATGAGGAGGAAAACAGTCACTTACTTTCTTGGATGTCTTAATCTGCAAATCATCTAACACCCTTCAGTCTCAAGAATTCCGTAAATCCACACACATGATTGACCTCATTCATTTCTAGTCCCACCACAGCACGAGGACAAAGAGAAGAGAGATGCTCATAGGATTTTTTCTCAAGAGCATACAGGTCTAACTTATTAAAAGACAAATACCATATTATTGCAAGATGCTTCATCTAATACTTTCCTTGATACTTTTACAAAAGACTGTAATAGTAAAATAACAATAGGACAAAGCGTAATAAAGATATTAAACAAATTGTCTTTAACAGTTTAATGTTCCTGAAAAGACTGCTAAACTTCCTTACAAGGTGAAACTCTGTGTTTCTTACCAAACTCTAGAACTGCAGACACATTCATCACCTTCAAAACTACCATTAGAAAACATCTTATCTCCCTGATACACCCGTCAACTAACAACACGAATACCACCTGGTGGTTCACACTTATTATTATTATTATTAAAGATTAGCCGGTATTCTCCCGGCCCGGGCCTTTTCCAAGTGGTGGCCCGGCCTTGGCTCCCTCTTTAGGGAGTGTCTGAGACCTGAGTCTCCCATGGGAGGAGGCACAAGTACCTCCTCATCTTTGGGACCAACTGTCCCCAGGCCTAGCCACTAGCTAGGCCTCTCTGGTCTGCCATCCCCGCCCCAAGGGGGCAAATGGGAATGACAGTCTTATGAGCTAAAGGCTCGGGCTCAGGCACCTACCCTACCCTAGAAGGGTTAGGCATGGTGTCGATGTTCACACTTACACTCACTCACCCATTTGACCATAAACAGAAATATTAATCTCAATCTTAAAATAATGAATCCAAACTAGTTATAAGTTGGCCTGTGATACTCCAATACGAAACTATGTACTATGCCAAAACAAAAGCATTCACATTGCTAAACTCACAAAGTAGTATTTAGTCACTTAGCCATAATACCAACTTACCTCATAATTTTGTAATATTTTAAACTTAAGATTTAATATAAGTCTGCCCGAAATGCCTAGCCATGCTAGGTGTTCTAGTGGTACACTCTGTAATTATTATTTTACTACATGTAAACCACACAATAACCAAATTCTGTAAACTCAGCATTGTAATCCTTATAGAGAATAAACTTTGAATTATTTGAATTTGAACGTCTAATAGCTGTTATTGTTGAACGCTGTTAAAAATAATCGGTGTTTATTTACTTATAAATCAAGTATTGATTCAAGGTACACCTGGAATCAGCTCAGTATATAGACACAGTAGTGTTTACAGTTTAGAGCTAAACATTGTATTATTAACTCCATTTTCAACTGACATCTTAAGCATATAAAGCTCTTGGTCGCGACGATGTTGGAATGAATAACCAAGCCTATGAAATATCACAGTTCACCATTACACAGTTGCAAGAAAATGTGCGAGAGAAAATGCAATGTCTGAGGGTAGACTCTTCAAATTAACTGACCCTAAGCAATAAGAATGGTTCTACATAATCTCCGAATTTTTTCATTACGCAACATTACCCATCGATAACCTGGTAGGTTAGAACAGGTCCGCATGCAACTGTCCTGAGCACATATTTGCCCAATGTATCATTGTACCTGAAGATTACATAATCCCAGGCCATGTTGCTTCCACCTCACACATATTCTTATTACTGTTTAACAGTGGACTGAGATACTTATAGTCTTAAGTATTCGACGTAACAAAAACTATGTAAACTTAAGATATCAACTGGAAATGCAGTTCGTAACATCATTTTAACTTCAAATTCACCTGGTCAGGTGTTAGCCGATTGGTATGGGTCGCATCCCGGGGGATAAGACTGAAGGACCCGGATAGAAATGAAAGAAACAGTCCTCGAATAGGTAAAACTGGTCAATTAGCAAGAACTCATTTAAAATTAAGTCCTTTCAAAAATTATCTCTTATACGTTTCAAGATATATTTTTTTCATTTATGTTAACGTAAAAATTAATAATTTTGTACCAAAAGTACCTTAGAAAACTTACCTAACCTTATTATAACAAGCTCAATTTAATTTAGCCTAATCCAACTAAATATATTTTAGATAAGTTTACAATAATTTAATAATAAACAAGCACAATGAAATATATTTTTTCGTTAGGTTCAGAATGATTTTTGCGAAATTATTGCATATACAAATTTACGCTTGCCTTATTCGGCAAGAAGAGCGTTGCTGTTTAAGCCAAAATCGCAGTCTGTACCTATTCGACGCTCTCCCACACTCGCAAATCTTTCGCAAAACGTATATTTTCCCACATTACCATATCCAAATTATTCTACAGTAGCTTCGATTAGTCAAATTTATAATGGACGGGCAGTCTTATACAACATTTAGGCAGGTTTCGAACTTACGTTTACTTGTTCAGTTATCTTTCTTTATGGTTGGTCAAATTTAAGAAAAAGCGTAAACTTTGGAGACTCAACATACTGAAATTAGATACATTACTTATTATCACAGTGTAACTAGTTAATGTTCTAAATTGGACCGAAACGTCGTGGTAAAGCTCCTCTCTTCTATGTGCGGGTTATTTATGTATCGTTCCAGTCACAGTACTGTGGCTTTGTGTTCCATTAATCTTCCTCTGTTCAACGTTGTTGGTGCACAATAGTGTAACATCACTAAAATTATCGATTCTGTGGACATATTTGCCGAAATACAACTGTGCTGATAAAGCCGACGTTCTCGGAAGATACCCAAATGAAATCTGGGATTTATAAGATTCCTTACGCCGATTACGATGTAGGTAAATAGATCAAACCATACCCCGGCCGGGATTGAACCCGCGGTCAGAGAGTCTCAAAACTCCAGCCCGTCGCGTTAGCCACTAGACCAGCTAGCCACAATAAGATTCGTCCAACTAGGTATATTTCTTATTGTGACTAGCTGGTCTAGTGGCTAACGCGACGGGCTGGAGTTTTGAGACTCTCTGACCGCGGGTTCAATCCCGGCCGGGGTATGGTTTGTTTGCAATCGTGTCATTACGATTTCGTGAGTCGAGTTAGGTAAATAGATGATTTTTAAAATACCACTATTATCATTACAGATACTCTGTACGCACTGGGGAAAATAATTCTTTTTTTCTCAGCTGATAATCATGGGACACACCTGGCGTGGGCCAGCGCCCCTATTGCAGTTTTTTTCTCTTGATACAACTGACTTTCATTCCACATAGAAGGACGTTCTCTCATCTCATTTACTTTCACCTGAGGAGGGCTTTTAGTCAGACCGAAATTTATTTTTTTCTTTACTACTAAATGTGTTATTCGTATTCAGTATATTACCCATAAACTGTGAGAGAGATATGATAAGATTTTTAACCCCGGAGGGTTAGCCATCCAGGATAACCCAAGGAAGTCAGTGCGTCATCGAGGACTGTCTGTCTTATTTCCATTGTGGTCCTCAATCTTGTCCCCCAGGATGCGACCCACACCAGTCGACTAACACCCAGGTACCTATTTGCTGCTAGGTGGACAGGACAACAGGTGTAACGAAACACGTCGAAATGTTTCCACCCCGCCGGGAATCGAACCCGGGCTCTCCGTGTGTGAAGCGAGAGCTTTAGCCAGCAGGCCACCGGGGCACCGGGGCACCGGTTAATGACAATAAAAATAAACATGATAGCGTCATACTAAAGGAATATCATTTATTGCAGGCTGGATCAAGCTTCTTGGCGTCTGCCGGATTGTCGAGCCTCAGCTGTCTGCAGAACCTTCCATGTTTGCCAGTGAGTTCCGCTGCGGCGGGATCCATGGAGAGCTTGTACAGCCCTCTGCTGCGTGATGTGTCAAAGCTCCCACCCAGCCTCCTCTACGACCCTTACCTCTCCTTCCTCAGGGCATCGCAGAGAGAGCTCTGCTAGCCTATACCTGAAGGTGACCCCTTGATGGTGTTCTGAAGGAGTCTCCGAGGGTATTCCTGAATAGGTGTCTTCCTAGATTTTCACATTCCTGAAAAAGTGCCCAGAGATACCTCGTTCCTAGAGTTTACTCCTAACAGAAATTCCAAACCTGCACATCGTCCTGATGGATTCTCAGCTTACAAAGGCTTCTCATGATGGTGCTATCAAGAATATCTTAGGCCACCGGCAGTTGCCGGAAAGTCATACTCACGGCTTCCTGCTGGGAGGTCGGGGGTTTAATCCCCTGGAAGGAAGATCGAGCTTCCATTGTTTCACACAGAGGATTTCCCAGTAATAGATAACTTCATAAAATTGTCACTACAACGTGGCTACATCTTCCTTCTAAAGGATGTCTGCAAGAAGCTGTCTCCAGGTCACTACCATCCTTGAGCTCAGAGAATTTCCTAATGGAGGTCCTGGAGCAGCGTCTGAAATGCAGAGGTAATGACGTACATAGTAATTTGGAAAGCTCTCTGACGGTAGAGCATAATTATAAGTTAGACAATCAGTGTTACACTACAGTGGTTGGCGTATTTCACAAGTAATCCATATTTTGGAGGAGAAACTACTTCATCTCTTTGAGGTGTAATGTATTCAATTTATTTACTGCTGCTATTACACTGCTGTTACTAAAGAATAAGACACGTTGATAAATTAGACACATGTGCAACTCTTGGGTATCTTTATTTCCTCAATAAAGATACCCAAGAGTTACATATGTGTCTAATTTATCAACGCGTCGGTTCTCTGAACCATTCATCTGCAATAAGACACATGTGCATGATCTGGGTAACTTTATTTGTATTGATAAGCCACTAGATGGCGAAACATCTACAGATGTTGCACACATGTCTAATTCTTCTTTTTGTATGTATTATATACCATTCATGTATACTGCTACTACTATTACTTCTACTGCTGCTACCACTGCTACTGCTACTGCTACTACAACTACTACTACTGCCACCCTTCCTACTCACTTCCTGATGTGCTTTCTGGCATCAATGTCACCTGGTCTGTCTTCTTTCTCACCACTTTTTCTCCGACCCTCTTTACAGACCTATCGTCTGGTCTCTCTCCAAAAAGTTATTTTGAGTTTCCTCTCCAAAACATTGATTATTTGTGCATAATTATAGAATGACTAAATCTACGTTTTTTTTTATTTTCTTTGGCGTGAAGATTCCAAGTGGGTAAATAATCCTCCGGGTTTAGCGCTTCCCCTTGATTATAATAATAATAACCAAGTGGGTAAGAAAGCGAGCCATTGTGGACATCTTGAGAAAAATGGAAGAGAAAACATTCACTTTGGAACGTGATCACTTCAAAGACATCATCTTAGGTGTCGTATTGTCACGAGACACATTATGCTGTTTAGGACATTTTACTGAGACGACGTTTCATCCACCAGGAGCTTTATCAATATGAATCTGATAAAGTCCCTGGTGAGTGAAAAGCCTCTTCATGAGTAAGACACATGTGCAACAGCTTAGTATCTTTACTGTTGCTTGAAACGTTTCGCACACACGGTAGACTTCTTCAGTCAACTAAAGAGGAGAGTAAATTGGAGACAGGAGGAGTAGAGAAGAGGTAAATATGATGTGATCGGTTCATGAATTGAGGTGGTCAGTTCCTCAGCTTGGAGAAGACCTCAGCTTCATAGTCTGGAACAATGTGAAGCTGAAGCATAAGAATGGAGTCTCAGATGCTGCCGAAGGTGAGGCGTAGCAGGTCTCGAAGACGTCACAGGAGACGGGGGTCCACTAGTAGCAGCAAGAGAGCAAGAATTGAGGAACACTCCAGCAAGGCTACCTACTGCCCATGGTAAGCAGTTGCCTCTCCAGTCAACCCTTTCTCAGTAAAATGTCACGAACCGAGTACTGTACTGTTATAATCCATAACAACATTGATACACAAGTATCGTAATGTTTCCGTTTGCCTCATTGTGAGTTGGACCAGCTTGCGACCCACGCAATACACTGCTCAAGGTTCATCGCCACGTGTGGTTCTATATAACTGGTTCGTAATGGAATAATCATTTAGTTTTAAGTGGATCTCGCTTTAAAGGAAACGACGATGCCTATTCGTCAATGGGGTTTAAAGCCTTACGACTACACGAGGGTAATTGAGGCTGCATGTCACCTGCTCAGTGTACATACACTCTATCAGTGTATGTACACTGAGAGAAATACGCCTCACTTTGTAATTCGATGCCGAACTAACGGAAGCTCAAGTATACTAGTACAAATAGAGCTTTTTTTTTATAATTACGATGTTTATCATAATGTTTATTACTATGCTTTTAGTTTTAAATGTATTGGAATGCATTAATATTGGTGGAATGTGTTTATCATTGTTAGTGAATGAGTTTATTAACTTAGATGAGAATGTATCACCCTTCAAGTCGTCTCATAATCTGGTGAGCGACCGATAAAGTACAAATGTGTTAGTGACCATTGACGCTTCACAGTGGACAAATGTGCAAATAATGAGTTACATTTTTCTGTATAAAAGGCTTGACAATGCCTACAAATAATGTTTTGCGTTGAGAATAATGTGCTACGTTGTTTGTGGGTAATGTGCTGCGTTATCCGTGAGTAATGTGAGACTCTTATGTGTGTGGTATTGTTCGTGGTGAAGATGAGACACTTATGCAACATATGGGAATCTAAATGAAGATTCCCATATGTTGCATAAGTGTCTCAATCTTCAACTTGTCGGTTTTGTAAGTCATTCATCACACACCATTCATCACAATTGTCTGTGGTAACAGGGAAATTACTCTGGTGTTACTCGAAGAGATTTTTGTCATCATCCTGGGAAAACCTGGGATGATGACAATGATGCTGGGAGGGAGATGTGTTATCTGTGACGTAGCTCACCACACTTGGTTGTGGCTGCCTGGTAGATGATGCTTATATCGTGAAGCGATACAGTTTGAAGAGGAAATCTTTAATTCAAGCGACGTTTCGCTTTATCGAGCGAAACTGAGAAACAGGACGTCAGAGTAAACCCTTGCTTTGTATACTGTGACTGCAAATGTGTGTATATGTGTATGAACTCACCTATATGTGGTTGCATGGTTCGATTCATAGCTCCTGGCCCTGCCTCTTTGGTAGTCGCTACTGAATCCACTCTCTCCCTGCTCCAAGAGCCTTATCGTACCTCTTCTGTAAGCTATGTATGTATATATGTGTGTGTGTGTGTGTGTGTACATATTCTCAGAAGCAGAGTTATGCTCATGGTGTCACATCTTAATTTTTTCAACGTATACTTTTTTTCCAAAATTTCCAATAGTGTACCACTTACTATCTCTTTTACAACTGTGACCTCTGTTGCAGGTACTGAGAAATTTTCATATATCCTCTCCTGTCCTTCCATGACCTTATTTGTAATTATCATGTCTCCTCTCATGTTTTATCTAGCAATGACAGTCATGTTTTATCTAGCAATGACAGTCAAGTTTTATCTAGCAATGACAGTCAAGTTTTATCTAGCAATGACAGTCATGTTTTATCTAGCAATGACAGTCATGTTTTATCTAGCAATGACAGTCATGTTTTA